TATGTCCATCACTTCAGTCATGGACCACGTTCTCATCATGATACCAGGTATTAAAACCATAACTGAAAGATGTGTCTGTATGTGTTGATTTTCTTTGTACTAAGCATTTGTTTTATGTTACGTTTACCATTGCTGCAAATCTTCTCACAGCCTACAAAGCCAATGCACGGACATAACTGTAGAGCCTGAGAAAAGGGGCTGAAAGGGACCTAAATGTTACATCCCTGCTAGTGAATGAAACGGTGCCAAAGTCTGTTCTTGGTGGCCAGACCAGCTAGCACCATCTGTTTGCAGCTCTACCTTTAAAAGAAGGTGACTACTTCTGCACTGGCCATGAGGGTAGTCCCCAGTCCATCTCAACTCATCAGCTGTGCCTGGGCATGGTTGGCAGAGTGCTTATTGGCCTGTGCCTAAAATGTACCAGAAGCAGATTTTGTAATTTAAAAAGATTCAGTATAGATGACCAAATTGTAACGGTCGGGTTCGTGATGTGATATAGTATGATTTACTGCTTTGGACATAGGCACAGTGATAATCTCTGCCCCAAAGATTACAACTGCCTGTTCCTAAACCAGTCCCAACAGATGTTTGTCCTGCTCTTCAAAATTTTCTGTACTGGAGAATTCATATCTACCAGAGGAAGTGCGTTCTGGTTTTTAACTACTCTTACAGCATGCTACCTAAGGCATGTGTTGGGGTTTTTTTGTTGTTGTTGTTGTTTTTGTTTTGTTTTGTTTTTCAAAAACTGTCTTTAGAGCATGTTAAATAGCACTTGTATCCCTTAAGTAATTTGGATGTGTGTGGATATCTAAAGTGTTACTCATTGTATTGTGGCACCTGAGGAGACACTGGGTCTCACAAAAGGAAAAAAGGCCTGTAGTTCCTATGACTTTCAGTATTTTATTTTACAAAATGCGGTAAAGAAGGATGAAATGGTATGGGGAAGAACTAGGCTGTTATAAAACAGGCCACAAAGGGTACAATTACTAGCTTTTTCAGTGGAATTAGGACATAGTCTGGTGTACCTGTATGAAAGTGGATTATCTAGATGACAATGCATTTGATCTTACTGTGGCATCCAGTAGAGTGGGACTTTAAAGAATTAACTTTGTTAGGTCAATCTTTGCTAAGTTAATAAATCAGTTAAGTAATAGGGGAACACCTAGCTAGTTATTTTTCACTTATTTTTCCAGTTCTGAAAAATGACTGCTGTCTTTAACAATCAAAGGAGTTGGAAATTTTCTGAGCCTCCTGGCAGGTGATGCTAGCTAAATTGACATTAAAAATTATAGTAGAAAATACTTTTAATTTCATAATAGATGCATAACGTAGGGCTGTGGAGTGTCTCCTGTCAAAGAACAAAACTCAAGCCATTTAAAAATCCTGACAGAAGCAGTACAGACTGTTCTCACTTGCTGCAAGTTTAGATCAAAAAGATTCTGAATTTTCGCAGCAGCAAAAAATATTCTATGCTATGTCCACTAGCATGGTATAAGAACAAGATTTTACTAAATTCAGTATAATTAACAGGCATGGGGGTTTAACCCGTGATGTAAAGTCATGTTTACTGCTGAAGTTACTGCTGCGTAGTTAGTAAGTAAAAGACTTCTTGGAGTGGCTGGAGTAAAATATTGCTCCAAAACCACATGCAGTCTCTCTGGGGTTTGAGGAATGTTGGTTTCCTGGAGTACTGACATAGTATGGACTGACTTTAGGTTCGGCGTATAAACTTACAAACCTCAGACTCTAAACAATCTGAGCTTTGGTTGGCGTGTATAAAAGTTAGGAAAAAGGACTTACATCCATTTCTGAACTCTCCCCCATTTTAACTACAGCATCTTTTGTTCCCTGCATTGGAAATACAAACCCATTTTTGTCTCGTTTCCTGAGGAAGTGGGATTTATGTGATTAGTCTCCCAGTCTGTCTTTTAATTCCACGGTGGTTTTGTTGCACAGGCCAGGTTCAGCCCAGCTTGAAAGGAGTGCCCATCACCAGCTGACCATTTGAATGTGGCACTTTCTTTTTAAGGGGTAGGAGATTTTCACTGTATGGAAGCAAGCTGTGTTGTGCCAGTTGGCCTCAGAGCTTGAGGATGGTGTCTAACTTTTTCAATTCACGAGTATAAAAATAATCTCTGTGTCCTGAGACAGGGCAGGCAGTGCGGCTAAGATTGGTTGTGAGCAAGAGGAGTTGTAAAATTCTCTGTTTAGGAGTTTAGGAGACCTGCTGGTGTAACTTTTTAAGAGCACGTGTGAGTCCTCATATTTGTGTTGTTTGCCCATAACTCTCCCGAACAGTTGGGTGTATGTACTGTCCCAGCAACTCCTTCTCCACCAAGGAAGTTGTGGCTGTTTTGCACCTAGGCATTTTGTTGCTTCAGCAGATGAAGCATTAACTGGGGTGAACTACACCATGTAATTTTGAGTCTAATTGTAGCGATCTTTAAATGATGGCCACCACGATAATTAAGTGGCTTAAGAGCTTTTGAGTTAAAAGAAGAGGCTTGTTTAGTCTTCAGGATATTCAGTTACGTGTTGGGGGGATATGGAGGAAACAGAGCCAGAATCTTAGGGGTGCACAGTGGTAGGACAAGAGACAACGGGCACAAGTTGCAACAAGGGAAATTCGGATGAGATATTGGGAAGAAACTTTTCACTGTGAGGACAGGCAAACATAGGAACAGGAGCGAAGGGAGGCTGAGAAATCTCCATTCTCGAAGACATTGAGAACCCAATGGGACCATGATTGTGGGCAACCTTGTCCAAGCTGGACCTCCTTTGGGTAAACTCTTGGACCAGGTGACCTCTAGAGGTGTGTTCCAACCTGTTGTTCTGTGACACAGCACAGGGTGTGGCGTGAGCTTAAAGTGCAGTTGCCTATGAAACAGTTTACCACTAGATTTGCATTCAGGAAGGCATGTTTCTAATGCATAATAGAAGCCCAGAAGTGCTAATGCCAGTTGAATACTGGAGAACTGAATATGATAGCTTTTTCTGCCATCTGGTTTTCATGTGTTGACTTTTCAGTAGGTGGCACTTTCTAGATGCCTGGATTGAAGGCTGTGCAGAAATGCTTCTCCAAACAGTATTTAGGGATTGTTCTTTCATTAGTTAACATTAGTTTAGGCCCCATCCCTGGAAGTGTTTAAGACCAGGTTGGATGAGGCTTTGGGCGACGTGGTCTAGTGGAGGGTGTCCCTGCCCGCAGCAGGGGGGTTGGAACTAGATGATCTTTGAGGTCCCTTCCAACCCAAACCATTCTATGATTCTATGATTCTATGATTCTATGATCTTACACACTAAATACTTCAAAAAAAAAAAAAATTCTGGTTTTCAAAGTTAGTGCCTAGTTTTAATCTTAATCTTTTTGTGATTCAGCTCCCCAGTTGTCAGATGACAGCATCAGCACTTTTCAGGGGCAATGTAGTGCTGACTATCATAAAGCCCAAAAGAACATAAAAAATTCTTCCTTCAGGGCATGGTTTGTGTCCCGATACCCATGTACTGCAGTAGAAACAGAGCAGAAAGCAAAGCTTCAGTCCATCCTATGTGGAGGGACTTTTGAAAAAACCCACAGGTGATCATTAATTAATTAGAACAATTATGCATGAAGAGACCAGCCTTAATTATAGCATTTCCCAACTTTCCAATTTTTTCCTGTAGTGCTTTCAGTCTATTCTTTTAATAGTTGCTTCTAAGTATAAATCACAGTTAAAAATTGGAGCTGTTTTTACAGCATCTCACACTTGCATCTTTTTGTTGTTTATGGAAGAACCCAGCTGAAAGAGTCTCTGTTGTAGCAGCTGATGCTGGTTGACACACGCTGCCAGCTCAGTGCAGTGACTGTCGCTCAGACTCTGAGCTCAGTTCTGTTCTCATCATCATCAATGGGAGTTTTAGCGTTGCCTACCGTGCAAGTGTCTCTCTTATTGATGTCCAGGTGATGTAGTCCAGCCTTGCAAAGAACTTGTATGTGAGGCATGTGCTTTATACTGAGCGCACAAAGACTTTCCTGAAATCAGTGTCTTAGAATCTGTAAGAGGTGTTGGAAAAATAATGAAAACAAGAGACGGTGAAAGTCCTTAAGGTCTCTAGTGTTCAAGAAACTATTTGCTTAAATTCATTCATATTTTGAGAACCCTTAAAAGACTTTTGAACTTTTAAGTATGTCTAAGTATGCATGCTGTCCTGTCTAGGGCACGAAGTGTATTAACGGAGCATAAACAGAATGTGCATTAACAGAGTAGAAGCAGGAAACTAAATGCTAAATACTAAATAAATCCAGGAGCAGGGGAAATAAAGCCAAACACTTCAGCCATCAACACATGCCTAATTTTTAGTAAACCTACTGATACTAAAAGGCTGTTTTAAAACAAGAATGGTAAAGTTGCATTAGGAAGCACTCTAAAGTTCAGATGCTCTGGATTGAAGATTGCTTGTCAAACCTTAATGTGTATCTATTGTGCATATGCATTATAATAATCTTTTAATGGGAGAAATCCCTATAAAGTGGGAAAATTGTCTTTGACTTCAGTGTGGTAGAAAATTAGATCTGCTTAAAACAATTCACTTGCCCTGCCCTTAAAAGCCTGTAGAAATACGTGAGAAAAATATATTCAGTGTTGAGGGCACAATAAATGATAGGAGGAGATGTTATTTTGGAAGTAATGATTTTCTCTTCAGAGATAGTTGGAGACATTTATGAGCTGCAGAGTCTAAAAGTCTGACAGTGGTTTTGAATGCAACTGATTTTATGAACTTTTGAAAGTTGTTACAATTCTCTAACAAAGTCTCTTTTGCTTTTGTCTTTTAATAGCTCTCTACAAACACACGTCAGCTGTAAATAAATTAGGTGGGAAATCCTGATTCTATGTGAAGTTGTTAATTGGAGAAACAGGAGAATACCCCACTGCTGGAATCTCCATCTCTCAAATGTCTCTAAAATATAAAGCAGGGATCAAAATCTTATTTGTTCTATCTTTGCCTTTCAGGTCCAAACCATGAATTACGTTGGACAGTTAGCAGGGCAAGTGTTTGTAACTGTGAAGGAGCTCTATAAGGGACTAAACCCAGCCACATTGTCGGGATGTATAGATATAATTGTTGTACGTCAGCCAGATGGAAATCTTCAGTGTTCTCCTTTCCATGTACGCTTTGGGAAAATGGGAGTTCTACGTTCCAGGGAGAAAGTGGTAAGAACATGGACAATTTTGATGTGTTCTGTCTGTGGGTTAACTCTAATGACGTGAAAGTTACTGAATGTTCTGTCGTATGCTAGTCAAGGTTTTCTTTAGACACTCCTTATAAAGTGCCCAAACTGAGGCAAGGTTCAATTCAAATGGTTGTTACTGATTCTTGCATTTCAAAGCATAATTTGTAAGACATTGACTTACAATAAAACAAACAAACAAAAAAAGCCATGACATTTGTATCATTTCAATAAAGCAAAATTTTGAATGTCCTAATTTGGGCCTATACTAAATTTCATTAGTGACCATGTATTAAGACTCCTTTTTTTAACCTGTTCAATGATAGTTACAAAAAGGGAGGTAAGAATGAAGGAATATTTTCAGATAACACAATGTTGAGGTTAATCGAAGCTAGAAAAAGCAAGGAGGACCTTGAGATAAATGTAACCAGGCTGAATGACCTGGCAATATGATATCAGATCCAAAGTTGCCAGTGAGTAATGCACAACAGATTATTTTAAGAAATAATTTGTAACTACATACAGTCTAGGTTGTAGTGTAGCTATAATTGTTCAGCAGAAAGATCCTAATGTCATCATGGACATTGCTCCATTCTTACATAAATCAGAAAGGAATTCCAATATTTAGGATGGGTAAAAGTTGAAAATGTTACTGTGCCAATAGTGTACTGTGTCCTGAAATATAACATAAATGTAGACTTGTCCAAGTCTCAAAAACCCACAGTGAAAATAGAGTTGGTGGCAAGAACGGTCATAGGCAAAGAGAGAGATCCTCCTGAGAAGAAATGGAAATAGTTTGGGCTGTATAGTGGTGAGATAAATGTGCGGAAGAAACAGACACCTGAATTGTGTCAAGAATGTAAAACAATTTTTCTTACTTGTGCTTCTCATGGTGTAAAGAGAAGTCTATTTAATGAATTTGAAAGACAGCATATTAAGAATTTGCATGTGGAAGTATTTCTTGCACAATTTGAAAATAGGCTATGAATTAAAAGAGCAAAAAGATTTGTGTGGTGAGTGAAGCATTCAGAATTACATTTAAAAAGATTCAGGACTTTATATAATGGCTATAAACCTTCTTGAGTAGAGGAGCAAGAGAGCAATGAGCTGGACAAGGTAAAAACCCCAACATTTTCACAACTGATGGCCTTGTGAAGGGGTGAGGAGAGAAACAGACATTCACTATTTTATGTTTATTATAAGGTTTCCTACACTTCCCTGAGAAGCATTTGCCCAGTGCAGCGGTAGGATAGCTGAACAGGAACTGTGTACCTAAAATAACTTTCTTTTCATATAAGAATATATTTATTTTCTTCCAGGTTGACATAGAAATTAATGGAGAGGCTGTAGATTTGCACATGAAACTAGGAGACAATGGAGAGGCCTTTTTTGTGCAGGAGATGGATAATGATCAGGTAAGAGTCAAAACTAATTTGAATTTCTTAAAAATTCAATGCCTGCTCTTCAGTGTCTGTTTTGAGTTTAGGAATTTTGTTGAAAAATATACCTTTAACCATTTTATTGTTTGGATGTTTCTGAACAATTTTCTGCTATGGAAATTCAATACTATGCAGTTACTTCATTTTTTGAATTGCTGAGATTTGGAAAAATCTAAAGAAAGTAATCACATAACTGAAAAATAAATCATAGTTTATGTGCATGCCAGTATGTGAACAGAAATAACATGTACAGAGTTCACATGTTCCGGAGATGTGTGCAACAGAGGTTAGTATGTCCATGGACCTGTTTTTTTCAGAAATCTTTATTTTGATCATATGTACTCAGCAGACTGGCAGTAAAAGTGCACATACATACGCTGTAAACATCTGTGCACGCAGTAGTTCTGGTACTCACCAAAGACATGATCTTCCAACTATTTTCATGTGGAATTATATTTAAATGAAAATGCCTGCTCTTGAGATGTGTGATTAAATACTAGTCTGTATAAGTTATGGTCACACTAATTTTGAGTAGTCCACACATAATACAAGAAAAGCTCTTTACAGGCATTTCTCTTCAGAGATCCCCAATGAGTTTTGTCACTGTCCAGAGTGGGATGAGTTTTCAAATTCTTACATTGAATATGATATTACTAGTTTCAGGTGAGAGCTGTGTGCATGTGCAGTATTCATCTCTATATCTTTATGTTTAAATATGCCAATCTTTATATTTAAATCTTCTGTGTGGTAACAGTTATTTGGTGACTGAAAATTTCTAGAAATACTTCCATGAGTATCTAGGGATGTGTGTGTGTATGTGTGTGTGTGTATATATATATGTGTGTGTGATTCTGTGACCTAGTTATAAACTGCTGACCTGTCTGACTACTATCTGTCATCTGAGTTGTGAAGGAAAATCGGATTTTACAAAATGTTCAGGTTATAAACTAGGATTTTGTTTCTGCTCTGTATCTAGCACCTGGTGGACAGAGACTCATGCCATATCCTGGCCAGTATTAGATGCTCAGAGAATCCTCTTCATTAAGAATATCGTTCCTGGCTTGTCTGAGGAGATGCAGCTATGGAACAATTTCCATATGATACAGGATCATACTGAGCATCTGGATGTATAATCTTTGTTACTTTTCTGAGGAATAAATGACTTGGGTTTTGGCAATTGTGCATGGATTTTAGAACCAGATTTATGACTGGTGGAGGAACTAATATGTTGTATGGTTTGAATTTTTTCTTTCGCAGGAGGTAATTCCTTATCATCTCTCCACATCTCCCATTCTGTCTGAGGGAACTGCTTTAATGGAAGCTCAGCTGAAGAGGAACTCCATAGACAGGATAAGAAACCTGGACACCAGTGCATCCTCACAAGTACCACCCCAAGCCCACGGATCCCAGCCTTCTACTGAAACATCTCCAGTCTGTAGCTCTGTGAAAAAAAGGAGGAAAAAGAGGAGGAAGTCTACCCATAAACTAGACAGCTTAAAAAGAGAAGACACTGGAGACACATCAGAAGATGAAGACATGTTTCCAATAGAGATTAGCTCAGAGGATGAAAAAGAACCGTTGGACAATTCAAGGTAAAAGAGTGGAATTGTGATATGGAATGGAAACTTACTGCTGGGTTAATGTTCCATTCCATACCTCCTAACAGTAATTTCTATCTAAGTTATCATGGCTGATGAACATGTTTCTTTAAGAAGCAGCTTTAGGCTAGAAAGCTATTGGGAATGTTAGTAACAAAAATAATGAAAATAATCACTGAGGTGCTGGACCGTGTCCAAAGAAGAGCAATGACGCTGGTGAAGGGTCTAGAGCACAAGTCTTTTGAGAAGTGGCTGAGGGAACTGGGGTTGTTTAGGCTGGAGACGAGGAGGCTGAGGGGAGACCTTATTGCTCTCTGCAGCTACCTGAAAGGAGGTTGTAGCCAGGTGGTCTCCTCTCCCAAGGACAAGTAACAAGCGATAGGACAAGAGCAAATGGCCTCAAGTTGTGCCAGGGGAGGTTTAGATTGGTTATTAGGAAACATTTATTCACCAAAAGGGTTGTCAGTCACTGGAACAGGCTGCCTGGGGAAGTGGTTGAGTCACCATCCCTGGAGGTATTTAAAAGACATGTAGATGTGGTGCTTAGGGACATGGTTTAGTGGTGCACTTGGCAGTGTTAGGTTAATGGTTGGACTTGATGATCTTAAAGGTCTTTTCCAACCAAAATGATTCTATGATTCTATGACATTGAAAACATAAGAACAATCCTCCATCATGCTGTGAACCAGAAGGTGTGAATCACATAACTAAACCCCCTACTGTGGAGAAGAATTAACTTGAACTAAAAGGAGATAGAGAAATGTTTTCTGACGTATATGACAGTTCAGTAATCAA